CACTTGCTCACGGCTCCCTACGTCCTCTCACAATGCCATCTCAGCTGGGGCCAGGTTGGTGATGGCCTTGAAAGGAAACAGGTGAGCACTGAGCCCAGGATGAGCCCTGTGTGGACCCCTGTGTTCAAGATTCTCAGGCTGTAACAGATCTCGACCAAAGACAGGGCTGGGATTGATTAGCAATGTCTGCTGTGGGCCCAGGCCAAGGGAAGGCAGCCTGTGTGCCAATATTGGTGAGCTCACCCTTGGACCCACTCCCCTCTCCAGGCTCACTCCTCACTCCTTCCACTGTCTGAGCTCTTGCTGCTTTCTGCCTTCTCTTCCACCTCTGCGTTTCGTGTTCTTTCTCCTCCTTCTTCATTGCACTCGACCCCCAGGGACATCAGAGTCAAGGCCTAAACCTCAGAGACTCTCCGGGTCCTGGCAGGCAACCACCTTTGCCATCTGCACAGCTATTTTTTTTTTCTTTCACTCTTCTACATCTACCTCTTCCTGCCTTCCTTTGAGAGATCTCACTTGGGGTGATGACTTCAGACGCACTGGCACGTGAACTCAACTCCGCTCTTTAGTTTTTAACAAACATTTATTGTGCACCTACTGTGTGGAAGGTCCTGCATGACCAAGTTGAGGCCGGCATGGCCCCTGCCCTCAAGGAGCTCACAGTCTGGCAGAGGAGGTGTGACTGGCACCAAAGGGGTCACAGGATAGAAGTATGTGCAGAGACACAGGCGCCTCATCCAGGCTAGGCACAGGGGAAGCTTCTGGAGGAGATGCTGCCAGAGGTGAACCTTGAAAGATGAGGAGACGGGAGCCTGAAGAGGACAGGGAAAGGTATACAGGCAGAGGGAACGGCGTGAGCAAAGGCACGGAGGTGTGACGTGCTGCACTGGGTGGCTGGCCTAGAGCACGGTACCTCCCCGCTTCCCGCCCGCAGCTGAGTCTTTCACAGACACATAGCGCTGATGTAGAAGCAGCACTAGACTGGGAGTGAGATCCACTGACTCACTGAGGGGCCCGAATAAGCTGGTCGGCCTCTCTGGGTAACACAGGGTAGTGATTCTTAGCCCCAGGGGCTACGGACACGCCCACTGTGTGTAAAGAACCTGCAGTCTCAGTACCTGCCTCCCTCCCACTCCTCAAAGAAATTCTTTCCCAGGGTTCTCATTGGTTGAGAGGTGAGCCACGCCCAGCCAATCACAGTGGCTGGGGGAAACCTGGCTCTGATTGGCCACACCTGAGCTCTGAATCCACCTCTAGGCTGAGCTGGAGTTGGTGCTCCCAGACCACAGGGGCAGAGAGGGAAGGTGGTCTCCCCAGACGCACTGCCACCAGCCTAACCGCTTTCTGGACTGTCATGCGGCAGCAACCCGCAGTGCTAGCTGAGCACCTGCCTTGGGGATGAGTGCTGGGGACACAGGGAAGATGTCAAGACCCAGGCTCTGCTTCAACGACTTCACTTCCACCTGCAGGTCAAGACCATGGAAGGAGAGTGTAGGGTGAGGAGAGGAGTGTGGGTGCTGGATGGACAGACCAGGAAACCCTCCTTTTACCCCCCTCCCCGACCAAGAACCCCCCAGAGGCCCGGCTCCCAGGCTTGTTTCTCTTGAGTCCAAAGGCCATATGTGGGGGGGGGGGGGGGGGGGGGAAGTAAAGGAAGAAACGGCGTTTGGGAGTGGTCTGTGGCTATTCGTGGCACTGTGAACTTGGGGTCAGAAGGCAGCTGGGTCCTTGAAGGAACGCAGGACAGAAGCCAGGAGGAGGTTCAGTGCTGGTTCTGGATCCGAATTGCCTGTGTCCCTGGGCACGTGATCCTCTCCAGTTGGAAGTGTTCCCATCTGTAAAACAAGCGGTTTGGACTAGTTTATCTCTGAGGTCCCTTCCAATCCGCAAAGCTGCTCCGCTTTCCCGAAAGGTTGTATGTAAACTGAATAAAAGTGGCTCCCTACAACGCTTGGAATCTGTGGGTGGAGAGCACCCCATGCCCCGCTCCCGCACCTGCCGGCGGGGACAGCCTGGACCTTCCTACGAGGCGTTGACTCAAAGCGGGGCGACCTGTGGGTCGGAGTCCAGTGCCCCCTGGTGGCGTCCAGGCGGGCAGGCTGCTTCCGGACGGCGTAGGCCCGACGGCTGTGACTCAGGGGTGGCGCCGCTGCAGGGCGGCGGGAGGCCCGACTGGGGTTCCGTCGTGGGCCGAGCCACGGCGCAATTAATTACCAGCTGCTGGGAATCCTTGTCGCCCGCTCGCGGTGACTCACCGGGCGGCCAGGCTCATTCGCCGAGCGCGGGGGCCTCGGTTTCCAAAATGAATTCTGGGGAGAGCGGCTGCTACGGGTGGGGCTCCCCGCCCCCGCGGGCGAGCTCAGACCCAGTGGAGACCGGGCGGCCCAGACGTCGCCCACAGCGGGGGCCCCCTTCCCTGGTGCGCCCGGGGCGCAAGCACCCGCGAGTCCCCCAAATGTGATGGAGAGCATCCCCGCCGGGAAGCCTCCGTGGGTCCCTAGACTCGATCGACCCAGACAGAATCCTGTGGGCGGGGAGCCCAAGCACGGCCCGAGGGGGCGACCCAGAGGGATCAGGGCTCCCGGAGCGAGCTGCGCGAGGGTTGAGTATAATTCCGTGGCCTACCCGCCTCATAGTCCATGGCTAGCCTCTGCCCCGTTTTTCAGCCCGCCGCCAGCGGGGGAGGGCGCCCCTTTCCCCAAGTCTCCCATCTCTTTCTTGGCTGGGGTCCAAGGGAGATCGCCTGACCCAGGGAAGTGGTGCCCGGGGGTCTCCGCCACTTGCGCTTGCCCCTTTTGTGCTCCATTGCTCAAGAGGCAATTAAAGGGGCCGATGGTTGAGGGAAACCCCCTCGACGACCTGAAGGGAGATGGGGGGAAGAGGGCAAAGGAGGCTGAAATAGAAAGGGGGTATAGCCGAGCGAGGACCCCTGTCTGGACTCAGGGAATAGCTACGGCCAGGCCGAGCCTCGGGTTTCCTCCCCAGGCTGGTCCCGAGAGGCGCCGTCGCGCGGTGCGGGGAGCAGGGGGGAGGGTCAGGGTTGAGTTCTGGGTGCACCCCGCGCCCAACCTCGGGGAACCAAGGAGTGTTTCTCGGAAAAGCGACAGGAAGCAGACAGGGAAAGGGGAATGCGGCGCCCTCCCCAGCGGCCCCGATCCCAAGAGTGGCGGTTCCTGCCATCGTCAGCGCCCTTCCAGGTCGGCCGGTGCTGGGCCAACCGGCCGGCGATGCTCTCCGGGTCTGACGCGGCCCTTGGGACCCCAGCACGCGACGAGGAGACGCCCCAGGCCAGTGACATGCACCCGCGCCCGGGCCAGGTGGCTGACCCTGGGGGAGCCGCGTGCGCCGCCGCGCTCCCGGGAGCCCACCGACCCTCCCCTCGTGCTCCCACCCTCCGCCGGATTTCCCCTCTCCCTTAAGCTGCCTGTCTGCCTTCTCCGGCTGGGCTGCATCCCGTTTCTTCTCCTAACCCCGGGTCCCTCAAACTCTCCGCCTCTCTTGGTTGCATGTGCTCTCGGGGAGCTGGCCTAGAACGGCCCAAGCAGCCTCATTTATCCTCCCATCCCCCGCCAAAACCTGCTGGTGGCTCCGCCCCCCACCCTATCTCGGGCGACACCCAGTCCTCGGCCCGCCTCCGCCCCCTCCCCGGCTGCACCGGCCGCCCCTCCCGAGCTCCCTTCGCGTGCGCCCTGCGCCGCGCTCGGTCTGCAGCGGGAGCCGCCGCGGTAGCCTCGCCAGCTGGCTGGTGACCAGGCGGGAGGTGGCGCGCCCGGGAGGCTGCGGGAGGGAGGGAAGAAGGGAGGGAAGAAGGGAGGGAGGGAGGCCGGGCCTCGGCTTAGCCCGGCCCCCGCCCCCCGTGGCCCTCCCGCTGGAGCGGGGCTGCCGCGCGCGCGCGCACACACACACACACACACACACACACACACACGCCCGCCCGCGCGCACACACCCGCGCGCTCCCGCGCGCGCATACACACACACACGCACACATACACACAGGCACACATACGCACAGACACACGCACACACACTCGGGCTCCCTCCGGCGCGCACGCACGCAGCGCTCCAGGCAGAGCGGCGCTGCGGCCGCCTCCCCGGACGCCCGGACGCCGGAGGGCCCCGACCCCCGCGCGGCTCATGCGCCCGCGCCCACCCCGCATCTCCGCGAGGCCCGCGGGACCCCTCCCGCCGCCGCCTCCGCCGCGCCCGCCGCCCCCGGAGGAGCGGGCTGGGCGACCGCCGCCGCGCCGTTTCCCGGCCGCCCCCGAGGCCGCTCCGCCGCGGGCCCTGCCACCCGGGGGCCGCGCCCCGCTCCCGCGCCTCGGGGGCTGAGCCGAGCAAACTTCGTGGACCGGCCGACGCCTGGCTGGGACCCCGCCGCGTCCCGGCTCGCCCGGGTGGACGCAGCGCGCTCGGACCTTCGGGCACCCGGCCGCCCCAACCGCTGCACCTGCTCGGCCCCCTCCCCGCTCGCTGGGGACTCCGGAGACGCCGCCACTTCGCAAACTTTTTCACCCCCCTCAAAGGGGAACGCGGAGGGGTAAAAGGGGCAGGAGGTCCCGCGAGGCGCGTGCGGACCTGTGGTCTCCTAGCTGGGTGCCGCCTCCCCGGAGCCGACCCGGAGGGGCGCGGGCCCCGGCGGCCGCGCTCCGGCTCCCGCTCCCGCCCCTGCTTTTCCGGCGGGAGCTGGGGGCGGGGTGCGGAGGGCAGCGAGGCCCGCGCGGTGCCCGGCGGGGCCGCCGTGCATGGCCGTGCGCAGTGGGGCGGGCTGTTTCGGCCGGGTCTGGCGCAGGGTGTCGGGGCTCCCGGACGCCTGGCCCCGGCGCTCGAGCAGCCTCCTGTGCCTGTCCGCCTTCTCGCCCGAGCCCGGGCCCGCGCCGCCCCTGCCCCGCCAGCCGCCTCGCGGTGGCGGCGGCTGTGGCGGCCCCGGCGGAGGGGGGCCCCCCCAGCCTCCCCGCCCCCCGCCTCCCCGCTGCTGCTGCTGCTGCTGCTGCTGCTGCTGCCGCCGCCGCTTACAACTTGGAGGCGGCGGCGGCGGCGGCGGAGGAGGCGGCGGCGGCCGCCGGGCGCTGCAGTGGGACGCGCGCGGCTGCGAGCCTGCGGGACATGCCCCCCGCGCCGGCTCCTTGCTGGCGGCCATGAAGAGGCAGAACGTGCGGACTCTGTCCCTCATCGTCTGCACCTTCACCTACCTGCTGGTGGGCGCCGCCGTCTTCGACGCCCTCGAGTCGGACCACGAGATGCGCGAGGAGGAAAAACTCAAAGCGGAGGAGGTCCGGATCAAGGGCAAGTACAACATAAGCAGCGAGGACTACCGGCAGCTGGAGCTGGTGATCCTGCAGTCGGAGCCGCACCGCGCTGGCGTCCAGTGGAAATTCGCCGGCTCCTTCTACTTTGCCATCACGGTCATCACCACCATAGGTAAGGGCTGGGCGCGCCGCCGCCCGGCTCCCCGCGTCCCGGGAGGAGTCCGGGGAGGCGGCTGAGCGCGCGGCGCAGGGCTGGGTGCGGGGCGCCGAGGGTTAAACGCAGCCTGTCGCCGGGGCCCCTCCCGCAGCGCCCCCTCCTCTCCGGGAGCCCCCGCCTCTCCTGCGCCTCCGCGCCGTCTCACCCCTCGCGGACCCCACCCGGTGCCCTCCTCCGCGCCGGTGTCTGGGCCGGGCGTGCGAGCCCGGAGCGAGCGTGCCGGAGCCTGGAGGGCGGAGGCGCCACTTTTGCAAAGAGAGTGGAGCGCTAAGAATAATCCCACAGCAGACACCCACCCACCCACCGCCCCGGCGCGGGCTGGGCTGCGCGGGCCTCCAAGCCTTACACTTACTACCTCTCCGGGAGTTGGAGAGGGCTGGCCTGGCACCTGCGGCGCGGAGACCGACTCAGGTGGCCGCGGACGGCTCTCGGAGCGAGGCAGGCGCTGACCCTCGCCAGCCTCCAGCCTCCTCCGAGCCCAGGTTTCAGTTCTCCTGACTCCTGGCTCCTCTTCTTCCATGCTGGAACCTGGTCGTGCCAGGCCCCTGGGAGGAGAGGGTTTGCTCTTTGGTGATGGGGGCGGGGGCGGGGCGGTGGCGGCCTGGTGAGAGGCTCTAGGAGCGCGGTGGAGAGCCCGTGGGGGGGCAGGACCAGCCCACCCCCAGGCTGGGCCGGTGGGTAAGGCACGTGTGCGTATTGCCCAGAAGCCGGGGAAGTTCAGGTCCAGGGAGAGAGTCCAGTTGGTACACCCTGGGGATTCCTGTGGGTCTGAGCCCGAAGGTGCTGCCGGTGAAGCAGCCTCTGGTGGGCACCTAGGGCAGGACCCCCACTGAGGCCAAGGGGTTCAGGCAACTTGCGTCCCTCACCCTTGGAGACCTGTGGGAAATAGAGCAGGTCACTTCATCCCAGTGGATTTGGGGCTGCCCTCCCCACGCCGCAGGAGGCAGGGTGGTGTCTCTGTGGTGTGCACCTTGTCCCAGCGCGGCACCCGGCCTCTCATGGCCACCTCCGTGGACCTGTCAGGGCCACTGTATGGGCTCGGGGCCACCTCTAGTTTGCTCCCCTCCAGTTCTCTGTGCCCCTGTGCCCTGAGAAGAGGCCTCGTCTTCCCCATCCTTCTCTCCGTCCCTCCTGCCTGACTTCTCTGGACCTCCTTCTCTGATTTTCCCCTTGATATTTTTCTCTCTCTGGAAAGCTCTGTGTGCCGAAAAAACAGGATTTCTCAGTGCCGTATGCAACAGGAAGCACCAGCACAGGACGGCTTGTCTTTCCTTCTTGGTTGGAAAGAGTTTTTAAGAGAGTCATCTTGTTTGAAACGTTTAATTCATTGGTGTAGGTTTTTATGTTTTCAGGAGGAAATTGTCCTTCTGTTGTCTGTGGAACCAGCTTTGCTCCTCTTGCCACACGTCCTTGGCCCAGGGGCCAAAACACAGTAGAGTCCTTCCTTTGCCACCCTGTGCTTCCAGCTCCTGAAAGGGCCAGCCAGTCATAACCATCGTTCCTGTTCTTCACACTTCCAGTGTGAGCTGTGGCCGTGACACACATGCACAGGGCGTCCATCCTGCGGGGCAGGGGCCTGCTTGCAGGAGAGCCAGAGAGCCGGGGATATGCCTCCAGAACTGACCACCCCTGGGGAGGGGAAGCACTCATCGTTCCCTAAAGTGCCTTGAGTGGCGTAGACCCAAATCAGATGAAAGCTGCGAGCGTGCTGGCCACCAGTAGTGAAGTGAGCACAGGAAACCTTTGGCCGGTCCCAAGAGTTGAACTGCAACGTTGAAGAGACGGTTGGAGTTAAAATGAAACCTAGAGATGTTCCACTTACCTGATAAGGTTCTTATCGATTGCGTTTATTGATTCTGATTGGCAGTTCTGGGCATATGCCTCTAATGGTTAGGGCTCCAAAGAGGAAGGGGCAAAGCAGGGTGGCCAGGTGGAGCGTGTGGAGGGGCAGCCGATGACCGTGCTGGCTTATTCCCCACTTCTTTTGTTGAGTTTTCAACTGATTTTCCGGAAAGAGAGGGTGGAATATATGTGTAAGGCTAGGAAGAAAAGACTGTCCTAACTCAGCCGCCCTGTGGTGGAAAGATGCTGAACCTGGAGCCCGCTGACCGGGCTTGGAACCTGGGTTCCATGAAGGGCAGGGTGGTGTGCTGACTCCCAGCCTGTTTCCCCACCTGTAGAAGGGGCGTGACGCCGTAACCTCCCGCCAGGGTGACTCTGAAGGGCCAGTGGGATCCCTCGTGCCTGCAGCCGCCTGGTACAGCGCTGTGTGCACTTCGTAGGTGAGAATCCATGAATTTTGACATCAGCTAAGCCTGACTCTGCCCTAGGAAGCTGTTTAGCTCTGAAGAGCTCGAATTTACGGGAAACCAAGCACCTATCTAGTTAATTCCGTTTGTTTTCTTCTATTTTAATATAAATGCAAATTAAGGTGCTCCTAGGCCTACACCAAAACCCAGCCCCAAGCCAGGCCCTCCAAGGAAGCGCCTCCTATCGGACAGTGATGGTAATGAGTCGGGTGCGTCTTCAGGGGCGCTCTTCTTTTTAATCTAACCTTGAGCGGTTTCTTGAGTGTGCATGCTTCAACTCTGAGCTCGGGTCTCCAAGGTGGGGCGGGAACCACCCTCACTCCCTCTGCTAATGTACGCTGCTTCCCGGATGCAGTTAGTAGCGCACTCGCGAACGGGATTTTAAGAACATGTATAATTACCACTCTGCCTTGGACCTGTGGCCGCCGTTTTCGTCAGAGCCTTTGTCGGGCTCTCACACTGACCGCCGGCCAGCTCTCCCGGGAGCCCGGGCACAGGCACCTTTGTCCTAAGGAGGGACGAGCACAGGTCCCACAGGCTCCAAGAAGGCAGATTCACTCCCATCGCTGCTCCAGTTCTGGGTGCCGTCCGTCCCTGCTCTCTGCTTCTGATGTCTGTGCCACTTGTAGCTGCTGCCCAGGAGATGGTATTGTTGCGTTCTAAATTTGGCGAGCCCGAGGCCTTCGGAACTCTCCATCGTGTTCAAGATGAAAACTCCTTCTGCATCCCCTGCCGTGCCCATCTGATTAGCAGGCGGGTTGGAAACCCTCCCACCTGCCTTCCTGAGCTGTTGGTAGGAGTGGTGGCAGTCAGGAGTCCCCGCGGCCAGGGGCTGTAGAGCGCCTGCTCCGAATTGCTCTGCTCAGGGCTAAGGCCTGGGTGGGAAGGAACCCCCAGCACACGGGGGCTCTTCCTACAGGAGGCGCTTGAGGCCAAAATTGTGTCCCGCCATCAGCGACTACTTCTGACAACAGCGGGAATCTCCAGACACTTCTCTTTCGACTCTAACATCTGTGTTCTAAGTAGTTACCACCTTCGGGATCATTAAAGAGGAAACTGTGCTTAGAATTCAGATCTCATTTGGAGGATCTAAGAGGCCGATTTAAAACCTGGGCCTCACAGGGGAAGGAGGGAAGGAAGGGCCCTGCGTTTTGTTTTTGCTGCTGTTTGGAGGAGGAACAGACTGACGTCAGGCCCTTCGGGCCCGGCTGAAGGCGGGGTGGCTGCTCCAGGGCACCGGCTCGGGAGCTGGGTCCCTGGCAGGGGGTGGGGCACAGTCCCAGAAGGTCTGCGCTCCTGCGGGCTCCCTGCTCAAGGTCCCCCGCCCCAGAATGCAGTGGGGCGCCCCCTTTTCTCGCTCATCCGCAGGACCTTGAACAGACTTCTCACCAAGTGGAAAGCGTCTCCCATGTCCTCTTCTCGCGCTCTGGGGTGCAGGTTTCGATCCACGGTTTACACTCTCGCTGCGTGCCAGACCCTCCCTGGCCTGTGCTGCCTCTGGGGCTCTGGGGACCGTCTAGATGACAAGATAAGGCCTGGCCTTGAGGCAGGAGGGGAGCTGGAAACCCAAACAGTTGGGTGCAGTCCAGCGTGAAGCGTGGGGACAGCTAAGCTCAGTTAACCCTTCCTGAGCCACCGGCAGACAGCCCAGGGGCTGGGCGCGGCTTACCCTCTGCCCCTCACTGCCCCCGAGCTGTGCCCCCTGCCCTCCGCACCTCCTCCAGCTCCAGCATTGTTTCTGCCATTTATTCTGCCCCTGGAGGAACCGTGTCTCCTCCCGGCACCGGCGGGACCCGCACAGAGCCCCGCACAGAGTGGTCACCTCCAGAAGGACCGAGGATGGAAGCACCACTTCTACGCACACGCACTCACGTCACCCCCAAGGCGGGAGGAGGTGTTGCCCCAATTTACAGATGGGGAAACTGAGGCCCAGAGGAGGCAGTGCCCACTGAGGCCGAGGGCCTGGAACTCTGCAGTCGGGATCTCCTTACCGCAGGCTCCAAAGATGGATTCCACCCAGGAGCCAGGGATGGGCCTGTGGAATGTTCCATCTGTGTCTTTCTGCTTCTCCCTTTACCTTCACGCTTCAGGGAAGCTGCTCAGCCAGGCCCAGGTGAAGGACCCGGCCGCCCAGCACACCGTGGGCTGGACGGGAGGGCTGGGGTCTCCTTGTGACTTTCAGTATGGCAGCTGGTCGGGTGCAGGAGCACAAGGTGCCGTGTTCAGCTCCTCCCAGGCCTGCCCGGACCTGGCCTTGCTCGACGTGGCCCTGGCCCTCCAGCAAGCACGGCCTATTTATAGATGTCCTGGGGGAGGCAGAGGGGTGGGTTACTTGACTCGGGGTGACCTGAGAGAGACGGCTCTCCCGAGGCGTATGAGACACCCCGCTGAGGGCTCTGAGACGGCGGGGATCACAGGAGACCCCGTGTGCAGACATCTGTTGCCTTCACCTGCTCTCTCCGGATGGCCTGGACTTTCATCTGCTGAGTCCGGGGAGGTCAGAGCGGGAGGTGAGCCAGGCTTCCGTGTACGTCTTCCCCTGTGGACCTGCGTTCGCACCTGCACCCATCCATCCCCCACACTGCCGCTCAGCCAGCCCTCCCTGCGCGTGTATGTCAGGCTCCACACGTCCCCGCATCCGTCCATTCTTCCCTCTGTGCTGTCGTCCACTTGCTCAGTCGCTCACTCCTCGTTGCTCAGAGCACTCACTTGGCTCCGTGCATTGTTCGTCCTTCCTCCGTCAGTGGGATGTTACCCAGTTCCTCCCATGGGCAGGTTAGGGTGGGTGCACGGCACCCCTGGCAGGGCTCAGTGAGTGTTAACGCCTCGATGGCAGGCGATTTTCACGTTGTTCCAGCCTCATCTCCTTCCTGCCAAATGGTCAGCCGATCCCAGTCACTTCTAATTTTTCAGAAAGTAGAATGTTCGTGTGGAGAAGCGCACGTGTCACAAGTGTATTGCTCAGTGATTCCGATAAACGAACCCTGCCATGCAACCAGCACTCAGATCAAGAAACAGAACATTACCAGCACCCACGATCCTGCCTCATCAGCCAGCCTTTTCTTGAACGCCTCTAGTGACAGGGAGCTCATCACTTCACATGTGATGCAGTGTGTGTGCTTAGATGAACGTTGAGGTTATTGTGTGAAGTTCTGACCTGTGGGCTTCCATGTGGAAGGGGGTGTGTGTACTTGGGGGGGGGGTCTTCTCTTAAAGGGCTGGCCAGTCTCTATGGTGGTCACCTGAGGAGCGGCCTGAAGGTCTCCATTTAGAAAGTGGAACTCGGGGGCCCAGGCCCAGGAAAGGAGAGGGAACTCATTACATAGAGTGCAGGTGAGTCTGGAGTGGGATGTGTGTGGAGTGGTCCAGGGTGGGATGGGCTTGGGGAGCTAGGATGGACAGGTGGGCAGCCCCGGGCACCTGCCTCTGTGAGTCAGAACACAGAGCAGCCCCGCACTGTCTTCACACCAGCCGCGCCAGAGGACCAGGGAAAATGCCGGAGGAGATGAATGTAACGCCTGGTCTTGGCAGTGCTCTGGGAGGGAGTTAGGAGGCAAGGACCCTGGAATTCCCCGGTGGCGCAGTGGTTAAGAATCCGCCTACCAATGCAGGGGACACGGGTTCGATGCCTCGTCAGGGAAGATCCCATATGCTGTGGAGCAACTAAGCCCGTGCGCCGCAACTACTGAGCCTGCGCTCTAGAGCCCACGAGTCACAACTACTGAGCCTGTGAGCCACAACTACTGAAGCCCGTGCGCCTAGAGCCCGTGCTCCACAACAAGAGAAGCCACCGCAATGAGAAGCCCACACACTGTAACGAAGAGTAGCTCCTGCTCACCGCAACTAGAGAAAGCCCGTGCGCAGCAACATAGACTCGATGCAGCCAAAAAAAAAAGAGTCCATGGGCAGTGGAATCTGGGACGAGAGAGTCTGGTTGAGAATCCTTCTCCTCCACCCCGCGGATATCCTCCTCCAGGCCACCCATGGGCGGGGAGCGGGGGCGGGGTCTGGTGTTCATTTCCTTAAGGGATTTTGTTCAAAGTTCCCTTCTGCCTGTCCCAACTCTGGGACCTCCGTCTGTAGAAGGTTCTCCCTTCTAAGCTGCAGGCACCCACCCTGTGGCTTACAGTTCTCCAGCAGAAGGGCTGAGCAGAGCGTGGTTCACTTCCTGTCCTGTAACAGTCTTGGGGATTTGGAGATGGCCCCAGGGCCCCTGCATTTCTGTTGATAACACCTTTGTAAGCTGGCCGCTCTCCTCTGAGCAGCTCTGGTGCACTCAGTGTGCTCTCCCAGTCGCGTCTGATCACGCAGGGAGAGCAGAGAATTTTCTCACCTCCGCTGGTCTGCACTGTACTTTTGTTCGTGCTCCCAGTCAGTACCCCAGCATTTCTGGGCAGCCCCCTCCCTGCATTGACACGTTTCGAGCCTCTGGCTCATGTGAACTTCTCTTATTTTCTGTCTTGGACTGGGGTGAATCCAGGCCCTGACGTTGATCTCGGAGCGCAAAACAGCTCTGTGCTGTGGACCCAGAGAAGAAGGGATGGTTGATGGAAAAATTTGCAGCAGGGGAAGATGAGAAAATTTAGGAGCGTCTGTGAATGCATTGGCCCGGCTTGCCAGGATGCTGTGAGATGTCTGTCCCTGGGCCCGGGAGAAGCAGGGGGTCCCCAGCTGATGACCGGCTGTAGCCCTCAGCCACCTCCGCCACCGTGCTCCTTCCTGGGGTCCTGAGCGATGACAGGCCTGGCCGGGAAACAGCTGCTCAAAGGCAGGGCTGCCCCGTGCGGTGGGCTTGCCCTGAACTGCCCTCACCCTCGTCGTGTCCCCAGCCCTGGGAAGAGCACTGGGTGGCAATGAGGTGAAGGATGGCGCTGTGGATGAGCTGTGGCTGGCGTGAGGGTGCAGGTGCCCTTGGGTGGCAAGGGGCGTGCTGGGCTGGGCGCATGGAGAGCGGAGGGGGCTGGGGCCAGGCCCTACCTCTGGCCTTGGTCTTGTATCCGCAGGAGCGGGTCATGGTGCCGCTTGCCTCCAGAGCCTGAGTCCAAGGGACTCGGGGCCGCGGGCGGCAGGCAGATCACCGGCGGTCCCGTAGCCGTGGGCAGGACTGCTCACGTCTGCCTGTCCTGGAGGCCTGATCCTAGGCACGTCCCTTTAGCCTGGGGCTTTTTTCTCATCTGTGAAATGGGGACGTAGAGCTTGGTGGCTCTCGAGCATCAGAGAACGTGCCAGAACAACCGTGGAAGGCCTCCTGTCCAGCCCCGGGGCTCTGCTGTGCTGACGGTGGCTGCCAGGTGCCTCGCACCTCCTTGCACTCCGCCGGCTCTTGGCAAATTGGAGAGTCGTCATTTGCAGCTTCCCAGCCCTGCTCTCCCGCCCTCCCCCCCGGGGGACATCCCATCCCTTGCCTGTCTCCAGCCCCCGCCCCTGCTGGGTGCCGTGGCCCTGACCCTAGTTGGGGGGCTGCCCCATGCCCACTCTGTACTCAGAGAGCAACCCCGGAGATGGAAAAGCTTCTGACATCCAGTGGAAGGAGGCTCCCGTGGTGGGATGCCAGGCTGGGGGCCTCTGGAGCCGTGGGGTCCAACCCTGGGCAGTAGGTTTTCTCAACCCAGCCCTGTTGAGAAAATACGGCTTTCCGGGAGGCCGCCTTCCACCCTGCAGCCACGGTGACCTTTCTGAAGCCCATGCCACCATCTTCCTCTGCCACCGACACCCCTGCACCCCCAACTTCTCGGGTCAGAGCCAGGCCCACCACGCCTCCTGCAGGGTGCCCCGGGCATGTGTTTGTTCCACAGCCTCCACAGGGGGCAACTGAGTCCCCAGGGCCGCTCAGGGCACCTGCTGGTGGCCGAGGTACGCACTCGGCCCTGAGAGCTGGGGGGACTTTGAACTGAGTGGTTTGGGGCCACTGGGCAGGTGCAGGCAGAGGCCTGGCCTTTTGAACTTCAGCTGTTGGTTTTCAGGGAGGACAGCAGGTTAGGGACCGTCTTGCCAATGGGCAGCTTCTCACTCCCACGCCTTAGATGTGTGATCTCGGTCCCCAAGGCCATCGCTAGTGACGGGCTCGTGCGAGTCTGTCCGGCACCTGGCGGGAAGAGACACCCACCTGTGAAACAGCCTTGGGCTATCACCAGCCCTGCTAGACGTGAGGTACAGGAAGGCGAGAGACTCCCAGCGGGCAGCATCACCAGGCGTTTGCCCGGGGCTGAGGCGCTCAGTGTGTTGTCACGGCACCCAGCCCTCCGCCCTGTTGCGCCGTGCCTGCCCCTCCCGCCCTGTGGGCCCCCAGACCTCCCTCCACCTCTCCCCACGCCCCCTGGGACACCACTGCCGGGCAGTTCCCACCTGGGACCTTGCCCGTGCTGTCCCCTCCACCCAGCCTGGCCCCGTGCACTCACAAGATGCTGAGACTACTCGTGTCTGTCCTCTGGACGCTGGTCAGTAGGTGACAGCAGGGGCCTGCACTGTGCTAGGTCTGCTCACATGAAAGGCGCTTGAGGGCTGGGGTCAGGCCTTTTATCCCAGTGTCCCGAGCGCCTGGCACATACCGGGCCCCAGAAGGTGTTTGATGATTGACCCCCCGATGGCCCGTCAGGAACAAGATGTTATACTCAGGGACCAAAATGTCAGTAAACGTGAAGCACGCGGCAGTGGTGTCTTTGGTCCCTGTTGGCCATTTGTTGGAGGCGTGCAGGGTGGCACACATCTGGGGTGCTGTGGGTTTCAGGGGCG